AGGGCGAAGAGCATAGCAGTGTTCAAACAAGGCTTGTGGAATAAATGAACAAATGAACGCTGCAGTGCCAAGGGTGCAGAGGCACATATTCGAAAGGTTGAAGGAAGTGATGAGAGTTGGCACATCTGGAGAGAGTAAGAACGAGTGGGCAAAGAGGAAGTCTCCTTGTCCAGAACCAGTTAGGCCACATCAAGAGGCCCATGAGTGGTCCGCAGGAGATTTATGAACTTCCTAAAATTATAAAGACAGTTTGTGTGTCTGGTTTGTTCCGAGGTGGTCCTTAGCGTTCATCAGATCCTCAGGGGGGTACATACGCAACAGGTTAGGAATTAGTGGGCTGCAGGAGACGGTCTCGCCTTCAGTGAACTCGTGAAGACTTGTTGCACAAAGTGCAATTTCAGGAGCTGTTGAAACATGGGAGAAATGAGTGGCAGTGAGGAGCCGCCTTGCTTCCTAGAGTCACACTGTGTTTGAGGTTGGAGAGGCTTTGAGGTGTTCCCTTCTAGTGTCTTTGCTTGACATCTAGGAGGCGGCTGGAGGGACTCAGTTATTTGTTCCTATGAGTCAGCTCTTCGCCCCCAGGGACCACAGCAGCCGCCCCTCGGTGTACAATTGCTGTCAATCCCACTGTGCCTCATCCCCAGTCAGGCTCTCACCATCACAGGTCCCAGCCTCCAAGACCACCCTCAGGATACGGACAATCACTTTCCTGTTTTGCTCATCCCTGAACCCACCCTTCTACTGTGTCCTCTGGACCTCATGGTCCATCACTAGCAACCTCTTCTCTGAGTGTTACTTTCATCTTCCTTTAATGGCAACATAGCTGTCTCCTGAGGGTACTGTTTCTTGCATGGCTGTCTCAAATAGTGGCTGCTTTTTCTCCCATACACTGCATTCTGTGGGGCCTGGAGGTGGGGTCCATGTCCTCCTTGCTGCCCGTTCCCACTTCCAAAGTGCCTCTCTTCCTTTATCCTTCGGGAGCTCCAGCCCCTTTGAAGTGCATGTCATCATATATTACCACTCCAGTCCCCGTCTTGATGCTGCTGGCTGCTGACTACTTACTAACATTCCTTGATGTACCTGCCTCATACACTCCTTCCTACCATCCCTGACGTAAGCATCTCTATGGATCAGTGGTTCTCAGCAGAGGTGGTACCATCCCCTAGGGGGCACGGTGAAAATGTATGAGGGTTTTAATTTGTTTTCAAATGTCGTTGTGCCCCAGCGTTTCTATTGAAATTTATATTGTCCTGTTATAAATGACTTCCCGTTTGTTTTTCTTTACTTTTATTTGTTAGGTCATTATACTTGTTTTTCTAAAGAAGAAACCTAGAGACTCCTATTGTCTTATGAATTTCACTTCAGGACAAGGAAGGGGATATTGAAACATTTTTGTTATAAAAAGGGGGTATTTGGTCTGATAGCACTGAGGATGGCTGGTGCAGTAATTTGTCCAACTCCTCACTACTCCTTTTCCTCCAGCCCACCTCAGCCCCACTCAGGTGATTCCCCGCCGACACCTTATCATCACCAAGAACAACGCCGCTTCCAAAATCTGGATTTAATCACCCCACTCGCTGGTCATCACCCCCCATCTTTGTAGTTTACTGATTCCTTGACCAACACAAGAAAGAGGCAAGGAATGCAGATGACTTACTTCTAGAAGCGGAAAAAGGCAATTCTCCAACTTCATGGAGACCTCTAGTCATTGACCCTATAGCTTTCCATTTTTCATTATTCCTTATCCCTTTTGTGTCCTCACTTCCCTCCTCCCAAGCCTAGTCTCCATGGGCCAGTGTAATAACTACTCCCTTGCAAACATCCATAATTCTCACCCTCTCTCCTGTCTTACTTGCCTGGAGAAACAGTCTACACTCATTAAATACAACTCGCTTCTTACTCCACAGATGCACCTAGCAAGCTGTTGATGGTGTAGAGAAAAATCACAGAACAAATGACTAGACTCCCTTCAAATTTATGGCCGCAAATCTCAAATGGGCACGCAACACCATCAGATAATTCTATTCCATCTCCCTTGTCGATTCACTCTCCCACTTTTTCTTTTCTCCACAAATTGTCAACACTTCCTCCCTATCTCTTCCACCTTTGCTGTTGACTTCATGAAAGACAAAGATGCACTTGGATGGGGGCCGACCGAGTGGCGCGATGGTTGAGAACTCGCTTGGGATGCTAGAGGGCCCCGGTTCGGATCCCACATATGAGGGCCAGTGACACTGCCCTCTACAGCTAAGAGGCTGAACAACAGCTCAACCTGGAGCTGGGCTGCTGTGAGTCGCCGGCGATGGCGTAGGCTGCAGCACCTGTGGCAGTGGGTTGCCATGGGCTACCGTATGTAGCCAGCAGCCAGCGTGAGCGGCCAGCAGCCGCAGTGAGCGGCCATCCAGAAGCCAGTGACTGATCTGCCTCGCCCGGGAAGAGCGCAATGATGGTGCCAACTTGGACCAGTGAAGTAACATCCTCCACAACTAGACTGAAGAACAAAACGACAGCAACGTGTCTGTTCCCCTCCCCCCAATTCCCCAGCACTGTTCCCATCCCCACAATTCCCCAATTAAATAAATAAATAAATAAATAAAAGATGCACTTGGATGAGAACAACCTGATTTTCCCACTGTCACTTCTGTCATCCAACCTCTACCTGTGCCCACCGAGCCCGTGGTCACTCCTCATTGCACTTGAGCTGACCTCTCGGCAGCCTTTCAAAGAGCTATCACAGTCTCTTTCCTGAAACACGCCCTTCTTTAGACTCCTGGGTCTCCACACTTGCTAGTCTTCCTTCTCCATCATTTTTGCTCCTTGAGAGCCTCCTTTGCTGGTTCTACTGCCACCAAATTGCCACCAAACATCTATACATCAGGACTCTGCCATTGGCCCTGCCATTGGCCCTCTTCTCTGACCTGTCTACCTTCTCTCCCCAGGAGATCTGGGCCATTACTAAGGCTTCAAATTCCACTTCTGCGCCGATGACTTCTATCTCCAGGCCAGATCTCTCCCTAAGCTTCAGACTCATCTGTCCCAAGTGCCCACCTCGCCCTTGCAGTGAGTTTCCTATCAGACATCGTAAGTTTACCAGGACCAAAATACAACTACCACTGTGGTAGACGGAAGAATGGTCCCCAAAGACATCCTAATTTCTGGAGCCTGTTAATGTTACCTGATATGGCAAAGGGGACTTTGCAGATATGAGTAATTTAAGAAATGGAAAGTTTATCCTGGGTGATTCAGGTGGGCCCAATGTAATCACAGGTGTTTTTAGAAGGGAGGATGAGGGAGGCTTGAGGACACAATAGCAGCAGGACTGTGACACTGGAAGAAAGCGGTGGACCAGAGCAGGAAGAGGGGAGGCATGAGGTGACTTCTAGGGGCTGAAAACGGCACTTTCACTTCAGCCCAGTGAGACTGATTTTAGACCTCTGATCTCCAGGACTGTAAGAGAGTAACTTTGTGTTGTTTTAAGCCACTACATGTGTGGTAATTTGTGACAGCCCCAAAGGGAAAAAAACGCAGCCCCTGCCACGCCATGTCCCCCCACCCCACGCCTTCCACCTCTCAGTAAATGGCACCATACTAACTGCTGAAGCCCAGAGCTTCTCGGTTGTCCAGATTTTCTTCTGACTTACACCTCACCTGTCGGCAACTCTGTCAGCTCTCCCTCTCACGGACATCCTGACTCCAGTGATCTCTCACTGTCTCCACTGCCATCAGCTTAGTCTAGGCTACCGTCATTTCCAACTTGAATCATGACGTCACTTCCTGCTTGGTTTTGTTCCTACTCGTATCCCTCTTCAGTGTGTTCTTTTACAGGAGCCAGAATGAACTTTCTGAAGGGTGAATTGGATCATATCATAGCCCTCTTAAACCTTTCAGTGGCTTCCTGTTATGCTCAGGACAAAATATAAATTCCTCGCCCTGGCCCACCTCCAAGGCCCCTGGTCTCTGGCCCCCTCCGCCCTCTCCTCCCCCTGCACTTCCCCGCTCATTCACTGCACCCTGGCCACAGTGACCCTTTTTCTCTGACATTTTGCATTTATTCCCACCCCCCGGCCTTTGCACTTGCAGTTCCTACCATGAAAATGCTCTCTTTACAGATCTTATCATGGATTCCTCCTTCTCATCATTTAAATCTCAAGTCAAATGCCACCGCCCCCAAAAGGCCTTCCCCACCACTCTCGCTACAACAGGACCCTCGGCATCTGCAGCCAGTGGCTATTTAACCCTATTGTATCTTCCTCACAGCGTTTTCCAGCACCTGAAATAGTCCCACTGGCTTGTTCACATGGCTGCGTGTGTCCCTCCACTAGAATGTAAGCTCTTGGAGGGCAGGGCTGTCCTGTTCACTGCAGTCCCTAGTGCTTGGCGCATAGTAGGCACACACTTAATATGTATTTGCCCAATCGTCTGCCTTGGCTTGTTTCTGACTCTGCCTTCCCACTGCCCAATATAACTGCATCGCAGCTCTCTCTCCCAGAGGCACGTGTGTTTCAGAGCACTGGGCTTTTTGTGCAAAGAGCTCCCCAGTGGAAGTTCAGACATTCAGCAGGTATGGAAGGACCATGGCATTTCTTTTATGGTGCTGTGAAAGCACATAGTTCATTCCACATCTGCTGAGTCTTGGGTGCCATGGATACATGCTAGAGGGAGGAAAAGATACTCGTCTTCTGCCTCAATGGATGGCAATTTTGGATTTTGTCCAGGGAAGAAGTGAGCAGGTGGAGCAGAGGCAGGCAGAGGCATCGCATGCAGGTGCTCGGCCGTTTCACGGGTTTGGTATGGCAGCCTCGCTCCACCTATCTACCGACTGTCAGGCCTAGGAATGTAGGGGTGGGAACCAGGTGGCTGAAAGGTAGGTCTGGAAAGAGAAAATCGCACTACATAAATCCAGCCTACCCCAATGTCTGTATCCGTTGATAAATAAAGGGAGACAGTGACTTGCTTCCCCTCACTTGGCTTCTGTTCTTCTCCCCTCCCTGCTGCCTCAGGCCTCATCATCCACGAGGGACCCTCTGTGTACCGCATCTTCAAACGGTGGCAGGCTGTCAACCAGCAGTGGAAAGTGCTGAACTATGACAAGACAAAAGACCTGGAGGATCAAAAGTCAGGAGGCAGGACAAACCCCCGGAACGCCTCATCCACCCAGGCCCAGGCCCCCTCCTCAGGAGAGGAAGCTGCGGGCACCCCTGCCCCTGAGGAAGGCCCTGCCCGGGCAGCCAGCCACCCCTCAGGCCCTCTGTCCGATCACCACTGTGCTTACACCATCCTGCACATCTTGAGTCACTTAAGATCTCATGAACAGCGGAGCCCCCAGGGCGGCAGCCGGGAGCTGGTCATGAGGGTCACGACTGTGTGAGAGGAGAGACCTGGAAGGGAGGCCGTGACCATGCATAGGCGGGGAGGGTGGGATGGCACGCCGGTCTGGGGAGCAGGTGTGGGGAGGCCAGGTGGCACCCAGGGGCCAGAGCAGAGGGCAGGCGGAGGGTGGGGGGGCCTTAAGGAGTCTGAGGGCAGAAAGAGCTGGAGAGAGTGAGGCTGGTGCCATGAGCAACTTCGTGAGTTCCCATCAGTCAAAACCGTTCTCCAACAAGAGCACTGAAAACCAATACAAACTCAACAACGAAGTGCAATACACACCGAACCTAACACAACACAAAGACAGAACCGCCCAGATGTACCTGTGCACAAAAATCACCTGGAAGAGGTGGAGGCTACCAGGGTGAAGCCGGCTGTCTCGTGGTGGTGCCTATGTGTGCACATGCAGAGGAAGCAAAAATGCGAAGGGCGCAGGAAGGAAAAAAGCACGTGTCGGGTAGCCTGCCCGGTTTTACCCCGGAGTTTGTTCTGGTTTCTCCCTGGGCTGTGATCCACTGGCAGGTGTGGGCAGGAGGAATCACACAGATGTTGCGGACACTGGGCTCACCCTGGTGGGCAGGATCTCTAACTCCGATGGCTTAGCAGCTCTGCGTGGATGGTGCAGGGAGGGAGATGTTGGTTTGAGCAGCCGGGGCGGGGGATGGTTCTCCTCCCTTCCAGACCTTCCAAACTGAACTCCCAATTTCAGGTGGGCTCAGAGAGGGCTTAGGTTTGGTGATGGATGTCTTTTTTGTGCTCTTGTTCCTTTATTTTATGGTGATTGGCTCAAAGATGTTTACAGGACACACACACACACACACACACACACGAGGAAAGTACATATTTCCCATGGGTATCTCAAGCACAGTCCTGCTGCTGTGGCTTCAACCTTCAAAGCTGTCAATCCAGGAGCGACTTTCCCAACTATCCAGACCCACTCATGGCCAGGACACGCTCAGGGCCATGCCTGCTCCTGCTTTGGTACGTGATGAAGCCCAGGGACCCCACTGCCCAGGGTCTCCAGGGAGAGCTGCTGTAGTGAGTGGGAGGGAGTTGGCTGGATGGGCCCCCGGGAGGGGAGTGGAGAGCAGCTGAAGTGTTCCTGGCAGCTGGGGACCCTCCCTGAGGGCGGTCTGGCTAATCCCTCAGTGCTAGCCTCCCTGGGCCTTCCCAGGCAATGAGGTGGCACCAGGAACCCTGGCAGGGAGCCCTGTCCCTTGAGCCTGCCTGCTGGTTCCCGGGACCCTGCCAGGGAAAGCCACTGGATGGTCACCTGCAAAGTTTCTTGTTGTCATTGCACAATGGCTGCGTCATCCATGGGTATTCAAGGGACACTGTCAAGTACTTTTTTAAACTAGTTTTTAGGGTTTTTAAAAACTCTCTGTTGTTTGTATTATTCTCTTGAAAGCTTGAAAATAAAATTTCTTTCCCTACCACTAGTGTCCTTTTCCATATGTGAGTTTTCCTCCCTCTGTCCTGTTTTCCTTCTGTAGTATAACCCTGCCTTTCCTCTCCCTTGTGTCTGCTGCACCCCTACCTCTCCTCCATAGAAAGCGATCAAGGGTGTTTTCATTTCTCCCTTGAGGGTCCTTAGGGGGCAGGGCAAGTCTGCATGTGTGTGTGTGTGTGTATGTGTGTGTGTGTGTGCACATGTGTGTGTGTGCGTGAGTGTGTGTATGTGTGTGTGTATGTGTGTGTGAGTGTGTGTGTGTGCATGTGTGTGTGTGCATGAGTGTGTATGTGTGTGTATGTGTATGTGTGAGTGTGAGTGTGTGTGTGTGTGTGTGTGTGTGTGTGTGTGTGTGTGTTTACACCGTCCTGAAGCACTGTGACTCCTGCCCTCTTTTTGGCTTCCTTGCTGATAAATTCCTTTAAGTAAAAAAGAACGACTCTCAAACTTTCCCCTGGTTTCTGCTCAGGAAACCTAGAAGCAGAGGCCAGAGTGCTGGGAGGAAATCTGGAGAGCTTCTCCCCAGCAGGTCATTTCGCAGAAGCTGAGAGAACCACAGGAGAGGGTGTGTTAGGGCCTCATTTCCCTGACAGTTTTCCTTCGAATATCAGAAAACAGCCACCAGGGCAAGGTTCCGCGTGAAGGCCTGGGCCTATCACGAGGCAGCAGGCAGGACCTTTCCTTCCTTCAAAGGAGTGTCCGTCCTTCCTGGGGGCCAGCCGTCTGTCAGGCAGTGTCACCAGTGGGAGGTGCCCAGGTTTAGGAAGGCACCTCCCCTGACGAAGCCCACGACCCAGCAGATCAGAAAAGACATAACAGTTGGTGAAAGACCAAAGGAGGCGTAAGAGCAAAACATAAACGTGTGAAACTCAACAAAATCATATCAATATTTCCTGTAAAGGTGTGTATTTTTCTGTGTGGTGTCAGGTCATTCAGTTTAATTAAATATTTGTGGAAAATATAGATGTGTGACGGACTATTTTCCAAAAAAAAAAAAAAGCATTAGAACGCAACAAAATAGGCATATCACCACAACTATAGTGGCGATCATGTTGTCTTTGGCGATTCAAGGACACTTCAGAATCACGTGGTCATGGAGGGTCATCCTTCAGAACGTGCTACTGAAGAAGAGGTGGTCAGTGAGGAATGCTAACAGTCTGTTGACCTTGATGATGGGAGCTCCAAGACAGCAAAGGCCTTGTCTGTCTTGTTTATGGCTACACATTCAGGATGTGCCACAATGCCTGGCGTACCGTAGGTGCTCCATAAATAGTTTTGAATGAACGAGGCACTCCTGAGAGAGGATGGGCTTCCTTCTGCACACAGGAGACATGCCTCCTCTTCTTCCAACTTACATTCCAGCTCTCAAGTTCCATCATAGGCTAGAAAAGGAAGGTCAGCTTTTGACTTTTCTACCCAACAGGATGGTAGATGCCCTGTGCCTTGGGGAATGGAGCTTCTGGGCCCCAAAATGAATGAATTGAGTTTTTAAATTTTACATGCATCTCTGAGGAGTGAGGTAGAAGTGCACCCTGACCAGAGACCACTGTCTTCTTCCAGTTGTACAAGGTCACACTTCATGCCACCAGGCAAATGTCCATATTCCTGTGGAGTTCTCTAATGCACAGTGGCCAACAGCAGCCCAGAGAACTCACTTGCACATCCTCTGCAAGTATGGCCCATGCATGGGACAAGATACTAGTTAACACCTAAAGCCCTTGCTATGTGCCAGGCACCAAATTAAATACTGTGTGTGTATCAGCACTCTTAGTATTCCAACTGCTGAGGAAGGGACCATTATTACCTTCATTTTACACATGTGGACACTGAGATCAAGAGGTTAAGTGACTAGCCCACAGTCAGCAGCTAGGAATCCATCCTGGGCTGCGTGGCTTTGCTTGTAACGGCTCCACTCCACTCCACTCCTGCAGGACAATGGGCACCAGCTCAAGGGAAACCTGGGTCAGGCCAACGCGGGGAGGTCATCATGGTAGAAGTCCATCGAAAAAAATGTGGAAAATTTGGGGCTAAATAATTAAAACTATAATTAAAACTGTTTGTCCTCTACCAATCCAAACCAAACCAAACCAAACCACCCTGAGTTTACCTAACAATTGATTTTTGGTGTCCAGATACTATCCTGAGTGTATTATACAGGCTGAAGGAAAGCCTGTATAATACAAAGTTGGCTATATCTGGACATTGGGGAATTCTTAAAAGACACTGGACATAATTCAACCACAGCTTTATGGACAAAGGGTGAGTTTCCATAAGGGATTACAGAGTCTTCTCCTTCTAGAAAAATAAAGTAAAAAATTATCCTATTTATCGGGACTAGACTTTTGGCCCCAGTTCCAAGGGAGTGGTGCAGGGTGACAGGTCAGGGGTTCTAGTCACAGCCCACAAAATTCAGGAGCACCCCATAATTCTGAGGCCTTGAGCCTATCATCAGGATAATCAAATCTGTCACCAGAACCCCCAACATCATAGAATTGTTTAGTGTCTATGAGATAATTTACTGCTATTTCTTTGTTTTGTCTGTGAGATACAAAACGTATAGCAGAGGATAGGGGCGGGCACGGTCTGGACACAATAACCAACACCTAAGAGTAAGGATGTGCTTTGTAAGCAGAACGCATCATATTATGGAGGTGAGAGGGACAAGACACATTATGCATTATTCCTCATTACGTTTTCTCATTAGTAATAAGCAATCGAGGGTGACTTTTTCCTGTGGGGGTCTGACTCTATAGCAGTGATGGAGGCCTTGTCCCCCCATACCTCCATCTACCCTTATTGGCAGAATGGCGTGTAGACACTGGGATGTACTTGGGGTGCCATAGACCATTGGGTGACACTTCAAGATGACTCTAAGTGGTGAGGATCTAGGACTGGCTTCACTCCAGATCTGAGTCTGGAGTCTGGGCTGTTTTAGGTTGGTGGCCAGCTGGTTGGCTACACATCCACTTGTCCCATCAAAGGTCTCCCCTCATGCTGTCCCTTGCCCGTTCCAGCACATCCTCTCTACCCCTCAGCCAGCCCATCATGGGAACAAGAATCCACTGGGTGAAGGCTTTCTTCTCGCCCAAGCCCTAACTCGATGAGAACTGAAGCCCTCAGGGTCCTCCTGGCCCCCTGCCACTGGCACTGGGAAGATCCTCTTTAAATGGGGGCCTATAACCGTGTTCCAAACACCTCAGCATCACACTCACTTCTGACCCAAAGGCTCAGTAGATATTCGGGGGAAAGGAGGAGCCATGGCTGAGGAGGGTTTGGGGAAGAAAAGAGGCGCCGACTCACCCTCTGCTCATGCCCTTCTCATTTTTGAGAGGGGAAAGTCCTGGAAACAGAGTCGTCCCAGTGCCCTTGGTGGCCTGAGTCGGTGCTCTGCAGTCCATCTACGGCCCAGCTAGCAAGGAAAGGCACAGCACCTCATACTGTCAGTAGTCCTGGGAAGCCTCTCTGACCGAGGGGATAATCTGCTGCTGCGTCTGTTCAATAAGAAAGTGGATGCTCACGGTCTGTGTCTAATAACACTGTTCTTTACCCCACTTCGGCGAAATGAAAACAGCTAAGCCTCTTTTTACTTTTCATATGCCAAGCCTCATCTCACACGTTTTATGTGTATTAACTCATTTAATTCCCCCAAAGAACCCCACAAAGTAGGGAACGACTATTATTCCCTATTATTCCCATTTTTCAGGTGAGGAAACTGAGGCACAGAGTGATTAAGCACATTGCCCAAGGTCATGTAGCCATACATGGCAGCACTAGAATTGACACTGCAGCAGTCTGGTGCCACGTGTCAGGCTGCTAGCCATCACATTCTACTGCTTCTCAGAAAAGTGGAAATGCATTTGAAAGTTTTATCCTGATTCGAGAGGCATTGGAGGAAAGTGAATGAGCCCTACACCAATGGGATGTAACCCAGCTTGGGTCACCTGGTCCTCAAAGTCGGCCAAGGTCGGCGCGAACCTCTCCATCCCTCCTCCTACAGGAAGGTTAATGGCCTCACCAGGATTTTTAATAATTCCGACTCTCAAATGTATTCCAGTTGCTTCCCACTCCAATCTGTAGACTCTCCTGAACTCAGGGTTTCCACTTTGTCTTACAGCAATTCCTTTATTTTGACTCTAGGTGAAGCCCAAAGGTTGGACACGATTCCTCCTCCTTGATTCTCTCTCCCACCTGAAATATTACCACTTATAGTTCTGTATAATATAGATTTACTGGAAATTTGGGGGTAACTTGAAGATTATTCATATGAAAACCTGTAGTGAGAAACTGCTATGTGAAAGGTTCTCATCACCTGGGTATCTCAAATATAAATCAGGTATAACTGCCCTCAAGGATCCCACTGTCTACTTACTAGACTCTGGTAAGAAGCTCAGCATGTCTCATCAAAAGCTATTCCCACAAAACAGCCTGACAAGCTTACTCTTTCTTACTAACTGGAAATAAGAAAGTTAGCAATTGAAACCCATTTCTTCCCTAGTGTCGTCTCTCTTTCCTGTGAGTCACCTTTACTGATCACATGAAACACTTCACTTCTCACACTTCTGGTCACCAAATGTGGAATTTCACACAACAAGCAATTCTCTATGACACCTGCTGGGTGTCCTACGATTTAACCCAATTCTAACACTATCTACCCAGAGGCAGTGTTAGATCCCACAGGCTAAGGGCTCAGTCCTGTAAGATTGACACCTGTGCTTTTGACCAACTGGCTATAGATCAGAGGTTCCAATGACCCCTCCCTGGGTTCGATTAATTTGCTCGAGTGGCTCACAGAATGCAGGGAAACACTTACTTATGGTGACCAGGATATGATAAAGGATACAGATGAAAATTCAGATGAAAAGATACATAGAGCAAGGCCTGGGAGGGTCCCAAGCGCAGGAGCTTCTGTCCCTGGGGAATTGGGGTGTGTCACACTCATGCTCCCAGCGTGGATGTGTTTGCCACCCTGGAAGCTCTCTGAACTGGGTACACTGGGATTTTATGGAGGCCTCCTCACGGAGGCCCGATCAACTATGAACTCCGTTTCTAGCCCCCTCCTCTCTCATGAGGGATGGGGCTGAAAATTCCAAGCTTCTAACCATGACTTGGCCTTCCTGGTGACAAGTCCCTCATCCAGGAGCCACCCAGAGCTGCCTCATTGGAACAAAAGATGCTCCT